AAAAAAGAAAAGGAAAAAACTGAATTGAAAGTAACCTGCTTTGATCGCCTTGACAGGCTTACCCTTCTGTAGGACCTCGATTAGCGAAAAAAAGCAGTGAAGAAAGGAAGGCCTAGAGCAGGTAAGAAGAAGCAAAATTCCTTGCTAACTATAAAACCTGGTAGAAGATATGTATGGAGCAAAGAAATAGTTAATCAGCTAGTGGTAAAAGGAGGTGGAAGTCTATGCTACCATCTTGATTTATATTAATTAGGAAATAATAAAGAGCAGTGAAAAGAAAAGTAAAAAAAGTAAGAGATAGGAAGTGCCAAGGAAAGTGAAAAGAAACAAGCGAAATGATATAAATTCTGAATCAATATTATGGTGTTGCTGCCACTTTCGTGGTGGTAGCACAAGGCAGAATTAAAGCAAAGTGCACTTTCGTAGTAAATTTCACCTCTACTTAGCTGTTTCCTTACTGTCTGCAATAATTGTTGGCAATTGCGAGTCAGCTACTGAGTATTGCATACTGATTTTTCTAAGAGTAGTATTTGGGATACCGTCTGGAGGGAAGTTTAAAACACGCAAGACAAAAGAAAATGGCCAAGACATACCAAAGTTGATGGATCTACATGTTTAACGATAAATCAACAAGCTTAAACATAAATCTTGTCTATTTCTAACATTTTAGATAGCCATCATGAATAAAAGATCATTGTTCTGGTCAGGAGGAACGAGGGCCAAGCCATCGGCCATCCAACCCTGTTTTGCTTCAATGGCTGTCTCTAATGCAATGTCGCAATATTTTGTTCATTTGACACGTTCAATCATCAGTCTAATTCTTATTATTTTATAAAATAATAGCTAGCATGAAAATTCTAATTACTTTGGAATCTTGTCAAGCCGGGCAACTATTTTACTTGCTTTCTTTGATCTTGATTTGAATCCATCGTACATCAAAAACAAGTGAAATGAACTAAAATTATGAGTCAATTTTATGATCTTGCTGTCAATTTCATGGTGGATGCCATGGAGCTTGATTAAAGCAAATAGTAATCTCGTGATAGACTCCGTCTTTCTTAGTCCCCGTTGAATTTGGTGGCTTAATATTTTGTTAGAATTTACATGTTAAATTACTAGGTGTTTTCACACTGACTTTTCCATTATCAAGTTCTTTGTCCTCCTTTTTTTAAAATAAAACTCATTCTCTGATGCGTTGAAAACGGGTTTCAATCATGCTCAAAAATGGAGCCTAAAACTGTTTCAGCAAATTGATGAATATAAAGAAAGTGAAGTAAAAAACAGAAACATGATGAAACCCCGGTCCATGCAAGCGTGAATCCGATCATCGGAGTCGTACAATCTTGGGTATCTCTGTATGCACCTGTCTTGCATTTTTGCAAGAGCTTTAGCCAAAGGGTAACTGATGGCAAAACCTCCATCGCCAAAAGCCATCCCATAAGAAAATGTTGTGTTCTGCAAATGACTCTCTGGAGAACTCCCAGTGTAATAAAACTTACTATAATTATAGTTAGATAAGACCCTAACCAAAATTTCAGGCATAAAAAACGTATCATTATCTTCCATAATGAACCATCTCATATCTTCCACCAGAGTTTGATGTTTTTTTTTTTCTGCGATTCCATAAACGAGATGAGGCTGCAATGCAGAAAATGCAGAAAACTATGTGGTTAAGAATTGTTTTTCCTGGGGGATTTGGTTTTTGGAATGAAACAGGTGATGCTATCCCTTGGTCAATATCATGAAGGTTTTGATGATGTTGAGTTCCTCCTGATTAGACGAGTTTGAAGCATTCGAGAACGTTAGGAAGGGTTTGGTACAGCTATCAAATGGTTGGTATAGTTATAGGTTACTAACAAGTGATTAGTTTAATCAGTTAAAGTCGTTCTCCTCAACGAAAAGATTCTAGATTCAGAGTAATGTCGATGGTCATTTGTTGATGTCATCTTGAATGCACAACTTACAATCATCTGTCTTAAACTGTCAGGTACGACACAACCTTATCTTGAATTAAGAATTGAATAATCTATCTATCTTTAAATTTATCTTACAAAAAAAAAATGGTTAATGCTTGATTGGCATAAATTATTTAAATATTAATTTATATGTTAATGGATTGTCTCAATCAAACATTATTTTTAATGTGTCATGCTAACACGGTTCATAAAAATTAAAAATAAAACTTACCGTCACTCATAACTTGTAATTTTCATAAGTTACGTCATGCAAAGTACGATACTTTTTTTCGTATCAAAATAAGTTAAGTACAACTCATTAATAATTTTTTAAAATTTTAATTATTTAATAAAAAATTCATCTATTATTACAAATAACATACGAAAATAAATAAAAATAAAATAAAATGACATAATTTACGTGGTTCAATAAAATACCTATATCTATGGAATAGGATAATAAAAGTCATTAAATCAAAATATTGGAATTACAATTTTAACATTTCAAAAAACATAAACACATATATAAAGTGATATTATAAAGCACAAAATTATTATTTTATTTTTCATTCTAACATCTAATAATTCACTTATATAATGTGATGTTTTGTGCATTTATTTTATACCTTTCATTTTATAGCAATTTATTTTGTGAATTGAATTTCTACTTAACCTAAACTTTTTATTTATTTTTGTCGTTTTATTTTTTCTAATCACTAATTAAATATAATTTATCTATCAATAACTTAAATATTTAATAAGTAATTTTAATATAATTTTAGTTTATTAATTACTAATAAAATATTAAAAGTAAGTATAATTTCATTGCAACGTAAAAAATAAAATAAATATACTCAAAGGCTAGTCCACACGCCTTATGCTGACACTGACCTTGTGGAGTGCCGATCTATTGGACTAAAATTTTAGCTCAGTACGGTACACATATATGTTTTGTGCTTGATAATATCTTATTAATTACCAAAAAATCATACCAATTATGATCTGTATCGTCAAATCGTGTCTTGATTGTTTAATTCATTTGACACCTCTAAGATTTGATTAGCGGAAATAATGTCATTTTTTATTTTTATTTTTTTGAAAAACAAAAATTAATAGTGAAAACTTGTTTGATAATAAAAATAAAAATAAATTTTTAAAAAATAAAAATGAAAGTAGAGTCAAATATTTAAAAAAAAAGTTTTTAATTATGAAAACAACTCATTATGTTTGTATATATTTTTTGAAGTTATTAATTAATAAATATATATTATATTTTATAATTAGATATCATTAATAATAATTATTTTCATAATTATTTTTTTGTTTTTTATTTTTAGAAAATAAATTTTACTTTCTTTATTAAATATATTTTTTAGATGGAAAACAAAAACTGTTTTTTAGAAAAATCAAAATAAAAATTTTTTTTCAAACCAAATAGAGTATGTGTTTGGAAGTGCTGGTGATTTTCGATATCGAGATTTTTATTTTTTTTTTGTTTGCAAAATTATTTTTTATTTTTGGTTTAATTATTAACAAATTAATAATTAATATTTTTTAAAAAATAAATTAAAATTTTAAAATTTGACGTGGATTAAAATAAATGATAGTGTGAGCATTTTATTTAATTCACGTAATCATCAATTATATTCTTAACCAGTCAAAATGCCACATAAACAAAGTTAATGTTAAAATAATTTGATTTTAATATATTTTATTACATTACAATTAATTTTTTTAAAGATTGATGTATCATTCATTATGATTTTTAATGGTAAAAGATAAACAAAAAATCATAAAAAATAATTTTAAAATATAAAAAAATAAATGTTAAGAAAAACATAATTTTGAGAAATTAAAAAAAAAAAGAAAAATGGACCAAAATTACGGGGTGAAGGAAGTAAAGTTATTGTTATAGTTTAGAAACTTATAGACAAATTAATTGATTCTACAACTAATTAATGTGCCTTTTTAGCATCAATTCCTTTAATTTCGATGACTATTCTTCCTTTTATGTAATAATTGTTTTTTTATTTATTTTTACATTA